CCTATACACAAAAGAATAAAAGAATAAAGAAAAACCAACAGAAGAGAAGCAAGAGTCAAAATAACACAACATCAACACAAACGAAGGAGAGGGTGTTCCTTGCAGACACAAACGCAGAACGACAGAGGAAACAGGCAAAAATCATGATATTATCAAATGATCAGGGTCCCCAGGTCAATATATCCCACGAAAGAATTCCTTTCGATTTATTGCTAATTCATAGGAAGAAAAACAATAATGTTTCCGAGAGAAACACATTAATTTTACTCTTAATTTTTTACCATACACCTGACTTCATTTTAATCATCTCATTACACCAACAGTGTGTAATCATTTAAGTTTTTTACCAATACAAGCAGAAAACAAAACAAAAAAAAAACAGTACTACAAGAGCCTTTTTACAGTAAGGTAATCAAGGAAATAAAAACGACATTGGTTAAGAGAATGGAGAACTGACAAAAGAAATATGAAGCGTAAATTATACAACAGTAAAATTATCATGCACTGATAGCACGACTTCCGTACAAGGGGAAATTATAAAATATAACAAAAACAAAGAAAAGAAAAGAGGTGGAGTCAATATAAAAAAATCTACTACTGTGCGCAGTAACTGAAAGTAAAATAGTTATCCTTTCTTCTCGCAGAAGCTAGACGTGTTATAGGTTATTATTTCTGCCATTAGTTGGAGACCACTATTGAGTATCTGGTGATGCAGGCTCCTCCTCTTCCTCGAATTTCGACAGCTCCTTTTCTTTACTCGTCTCAGCTTGCACTGCACCGGGGGAATTCACACCACTGAGGTTGTCGCACATACGGGCACGCGGAATGAGGAGAAACACAAGGGGGATCTGCAACAGTGGAACACAAAAACCACCAACAACAATTATCCATTTCAGGTTATCGTAATTGCAGGGCGGTCTCGTGGCCACTGGCAATGCGTACTCCATAATAAGGGTGCCAATGACGGAAGCCATTGACTGGCCAAGGCTACCGGATGCGGCAAGAATGGCATACACTGTGCTCTCGCTTCCACGTGGACACAGCCGTGACAACAGAACAATCATGGGCATCCAGTTGAGCATGGTAATGAGTTCCGCAACAACAGAATTACCCAGAATGAAAACAACATAATCAGTGACACGGGGTTTGTTCCAGCGCATCACAATGATGAGGTCAAAGAAATGTGACATAACAACAAGGCATATTGTCACAATAAATGTCATCCAGTAGGTCCGCTTAGAGAAAATGTAGTTGAACAGTGTAATACCACAAAT